TCCTCTGTGGAGAACCGATCCGGATCCTCTGGAGAACTGAACCGGCTCCTCTGGAGAACTGATCCTCTGTGGAGAACTAATCCGGTTCCTCTGTGGAGAACAGATCCGGATCCTCTGGAGAACTGAACCGGCTCCTCTGTGGAGAACTGATCCTCTGTGGAGAACTGATCCTCTGTGGAGAACTGATCCTCTGTGGATAAACTGTTCCCGGTCCTTGTCAGGGGCCGTGTCTCGGCAGACTGTGAGGATTCACTGACGAAACTTTCTCTTTTTTTTCCTTTTTTTTCTGGACACTGGGAGTCTTGGATTGGGTCCAGACATGGAGCAGGAGGAGGGCAAAATATCGGTGTGGGTCTGCCGGGAGGAGAAGCTGGTCTCGGGGCTCAGCAGGCGGACCACCTGCGCCGACGTGGTCAAGGTCCTGCTGGAGGACCAGAACCTGCAGCAGGGCGCCTCGGCGGCCATGCTGTCGGGCCCCCCGCAGGCCTACTGCCTGGTGGAGAAGTGGCGGGGCTTCGAGCGGATCCTGCCCAACAAGACCAAGGTCCTGCGGCTGTGGGGCGCCTGGGGGGCCGAGCAGGAGAACGTGCGCTTCGTCCTGCTCAAGAACGAGGCCTCGCTGCCCAACAGCGGCCCCCGCAGCGCCGAGGCCCGCGTGGTCCCCAGCCGTGATGGCGGGGGGGGGGGCCCCGGAGTCCCGGTAAAGGGCGCCCCAAAGAGCTGCTGGACGGCGGCGGCCGGGTTATCCCAGGACCGGCAGCGGCGCGTGGTCCGGAAGGCTTTCCGGAAGCTGGACAAGATGAACAGGAAGCGGGAGCAGACGGCGCCGAAGGACCGGGGCGCGGCGGAGAAGATGGAGACCCTGGTGCACCTGGTCATCTCGCAGGACCACACCATCCGCCAGCAGCTGCAGCGGCTGCAGGAGCTGGACCGCGACATCGAGCGCCACGAGGCCCGCGTGCACCTGGACCGGGTCCGCCGCCACGGGGCCAACTACGTGCAGGACACCTACCTGGTGGAGCCTACCGGGGCAGACGCCGCCGGCGGGGCGGGAGGAGGAGGAGGAGGAGGAGGAGGAGGAGGAGGGGCGGGGCCTGGGGGGCAGGCGGAGGCGGTGGTCCAGTTCCGGGAATACGCCCGGCGATGCGAGGAGGTGGTGCGGCTGCAGGAGGAGCTGGAGGAGCGCGAGGCCCTGGTGGAGAGCCTCACCGGGGAGATCCAGGAGGAGCTGAACCGCAGGTGGATGAAACGGAGACGAGGGGAGGAGGAGGGCGGAACCCCGGAGGAGAAGGAGGAGGAGGAGGAGGAGGAGGGGTATCCGGACCAGGAACCAGATGATGAGGACCTGACCCGGAAGGAGCTGGTCCTGGAGGAGGAGCAGGTCCGGACCCAGCTGGACACCAGCCTCTACATCGGTTTGCGGCTGAAGACGGACCTGGACGCGGTGCGCGGGGACCTGGACCTCAGCCTGGCGCTGTGGGAGACCCGGGAGGGCGAGCTGCTGGACCTGCTGGCCAAGGTGGAGGCCATGGGCATAGAGCCGGCGCCCGAACAGACCCCCGGCGGGGCGGAAGTGGGCGTGGCCAAACCGGGCGGGGCCAAACCGGGCGGGGCCGAACCGGGCGGGGCCGAGGTGGGCGGTGGGGGCTGGGTGGAGGAGGCCCGGGGTCTGGCCAAGGCCTCCTCCGCCAACGACGAGGACTCGGACACCGGCCTGAGCTCCATGCACAGCCAGGACTCAGACAACCCCCCCGTGTGCGAGTCCCTGGTTTGAATGGGGGGGGGGGGGGCGCTCCATTAGGGGGTCGAACTTTTACGCAACTCGACGCCGACAAAGCTCAGGGGGCAGAGAAACCGGTGAGATGCACCCCGGTATCAGCACTGCAGTTCCACAGCAATAATTCCTCCATGTAGTCGTTGCACAATAAGCTAGGCGTGTGTGTGTGTGTGTGTAGGGGGGCGGGGGGGGGCGGGGGGCGTGCACGGACAGGAGCCTGACCAGTGTGGACGACCTTTGACCTCTCTGGAGGAAAGTTAGTACCACTTATTAGGGGACGTAGCCTACAAGAGTATTACGAGTTGTAGTCCTTGGAGCTAGTTAGCTTAAGGCTAAACCTGATCACGGAGGAACAGCCTGATTCTGTTTGGTTACCGGGACGACCAGGCTAAGCGAAGGCCGGTCAGCGGAGGCCCGGGGGTCAGGGCGCCGCACACCCCCTCGGACTAAAGCCTCGGTGGACGGGGTCCACAGGAGAACCGGAGAACCGGATGCACGGCGTAGACCTTAGATCACTTCGTAGCTGCTCGTTCTGTCTGTCTCTTAAGCACAAGGTGTGATTCCCGTAGGCACAAAACGGAGCCGAGTGGGGGGGGAAACGTTCGACTCCCGTCTTTACGTCTTCACAGTGTTTCCGGAGGGGGTTTACGCTCAGAAAATGTTCAGATAAAGTATTTAAAAGGAAGCATTTTGTGTTGTTTTTTTTAGGATTCGTGATCATTTCAAAGGTTACTTGTTCTCTGTTTTATTAACGTTCCGGCAATTAAAAAGCAAAGAAAAAAGCGAGTAATAAAGAGTGTTTAGCCATTTAACCGATCAAATGGGTTGAAAAGATAATAGAATCCAAAACAAACTCAGTTCTGCAGGGATAGTTCGGCAAAAATATGTGATATATTCTAGTTTTTAGTCCCAGTACGGGACGCCATGTGATCCGACCTGGAAACAAACTCTGATGCTCAACTGCTTTCAAACGCTTTGTCGGACGAATGTTCAGATGAGCGTGATGAGTCATCGTGGGTCCCCCCCCCCCCTGAGCCGGAGTGCCCCCTTTAAATCTGTGCATGGCCCGTTGTTATGACACCAGTTTTTGCTGCTCTACTTTAGCGCGAAAAGCTTCTTATTCCGCCGCAATCAAAGGCAACGGCCGGGAAAATCCTCCCGCTTTGGGACGAGGTTTCGGGTGGGGGGGGGGGACTTCCTGCGTGGGGCGGGGGGTCAAACAGGAACCGTAAACAGGTGCAGATGCACAGGTAAAAATCCAAAAAGAGAGCTTGTGTCTGGACCCCTAAGTGCAAACACCTAAACGATCGGAGTTTGAGAAGCAACCCATTTAGAAAAGCCCAACACCCCGACATTAAGGGGAACTGTTTTTTAGACCCAGCTCGCTTTTTGTCCCGAGGATAGTTCCCGAAAAGAGGTTTGACCGGCTCCTCTGAGACCTGCACAGACAAGAGGCAATAAAGACGAACGAAAAACCAATAAAAATTAACGAACAGAAGCAGATAGAATCAACTATTTTAAGACGTACCTTTTAGTGGAAATATTATTTACTGTGTATTTTTTTGTCATGACTAACTGTAAATTGTGAGAGAAATATCTTTGTAACATCGAAAAGGAACGGAGGGGGCTGTTTCCTGTGGAGTTAGCTGGATTCAAACATTAAACTTTGGGCTTCCCGGCCTGCGTCCTTCCCCCCCCGCCCTGATCCGGGCCGGACTGAAGGCACTCTTGGCACATTATCCCATTTTGAGTGTTAGTGTTGAAATAAAATGGCTAAAATCTGAATTTGTGTGTGTGGCTGTTTTTTGTTTTTTTTGGTTATTTTTCTCTTCAAAATGGCCTCTGGACGGGAAAACGGAGGTTTTCCCTGGAAGTTGGCGGCGGCTGACACTGAAAAGTGTGTGTGTGGGTACACACACGTCTCCCTGGTCACGCATGCTTGTGCTTGACCGCTGTTTCCCGATGGCCCACGCAGGAATTTCTGCATTAATGATGAGCGTGAAACGGAGACCTGAGCGTAGACAACGAAGCTGCACATCTCCAGTTGCATTCACTGACACGTCCCCCTCCACGTGCATCTTAAAGGCTCATTTCACCCACTTTGGTGGAACTTTATTTGCCTTGTGGCTTGCAGGCTTTGTTTAACTCGTGGCGTTGGGTTCAGGTTCAGGTCTAATTAGTATTTCACTTCATCTAAAACACAAAGTGTCCCTTTCACCTTTTCGAATGTGCTTTTTTTTTTTCTCCTGACGTTTGCTTTTTTCCCCCAGCTGCTGTTCTCTAAGAATATCCATGAAATTAACTCAGTTTGAAGGGGTTAGACTTGGCAACGCACACGCTCTGCTCAGTTCTTCAGACATGGGCGATTACAGTTTCAGTTAGAAAAAGAACTAATATGAAAACAGCTAATATCCAGCAGGAGTGGGAAAACTAAAGCAATAACACGTCTGTGTGGTTATTCAGACTCCAGATTACCTTAAATCCAACGACAGAAAGAGGTGAAATCAGAAAAATGTGATTTGGTCCAAATCCTACAAACATTTATGTCATTCTCTGCATGGAAATAAAGGAAATGTGTCATTTTCTTTTATCAGACTTCAGCATTGAAAGTTGCTGATACAACAAACAACTAGCAGTGAAAGGAATTTAGGAGTATTTCGGATTTAGGAATGATGAATCTGTCAGTACATAATCACTGAAAACTGTGGTGTTTGTGGCTCCTGCTGTATCAGAGGAAGGATTTAAAGCTGTAAAAACAATGTTCATCACATGTAATGAGGTCCCAGAGCCCCCCCCCCCCCCCCCCCTTCCTACAGCTTAGTCTGATCTATGTAAAAGAGCCAGCTAATCTACCTGCTCTAATCCCACAGTGTCCGTTTTAGTCCAGGTCGTTCCATCAGTGGAGCGTCTGGTTTTCTTCTTTTTTATGACTGCCACTGACTTTTGAGTTTTGGATTTTGGATTTCTACAAACCTATGAAGAGATCCAAGATCCCAGTTGGCAAATGACACCTGCTTTCTGCTGCGTGTTCAGTGACAGATGGCGGTTTGGTTACACCGTCGGGCTCATCTGATATCAACTGGCCCCTCGTTCACTTTCTTTTCTTCTCGACGGCCTCCGGCCAAAGTCCGGTTTCGCTCTCGGACCTCCAAAGAATCTGCATTTTCAACGCATGAACACGGCCTACCTTTAAACTTTCCTGTAGGATGGTACAGTTCATGGACCCTCAGACATCCCACAGACTGCCGGGGCCGCTCCCATAATGCACCTCTCTTTCGTCTTTATGTGCATGTGACACTGTTGGAAGTTTTTCCTTCCACAGTCGCCTCATGCATGCTCGGGACGGGGGCAACGTTTCAGTGTCTTTTATTTGTTTCTTTAGTTTGGAAACCATTTGTGTCTGGGCATAAACTCAGCTCAGTTTGGGACAAAATCAATTTGATCTGAGCGAATTCTGATTATATTTAAATTTCATTACATCTTCGAACTTTGCTCTGATTCGGAAATACATAAGAAACATAATTTAATTGAATTTGACTCTAAATTTGAAAGCAGAAGACGGCTGGATAAGAAGGAAAAGTCCTCCGCCCTCCCGGGGGGGCCTTATCTGTGTTTACGAGCAGCAGGGTTGATCTCCACCTCCTCTCCGCCTCTATTGTGACACACGGAGACCATTCATTTTAGTCAAAACACTGGAAACGATGCAACATGACATCCAGGCTGGAGGGAATACTTTAAGACAGCGAGTGTGTGTGTGTGTGTGTGTGTGAGACAGACTCACATTAAGGGACAAAAACAGACCGAGGGAGCGCGATACAGTTTGGTTACGCAATGTTGTTTTAGTAATGTGTCTGTCTGTGTGAGTCTGTGTGTGTTTGTTAGACCCCCCCCCCCTTGGGTTGTGTTGGGCAGAAACAGTGTTGGGTGGTATGAGGCCAGTTAGCGGCAGCTGCTCACATCTGCACACCAAAAAAATGGGGATTTATATAACCAGACCTGGAAACACAAGCTGCTGGGGGAATGAGTGTGTGTTAGCTTTACGCCAACGCACAACGAAGCGCACAACAGTCCCAGCAATGTGGACTCACAGGATCCCGTTAGCATCCGGAGATTCCTCTTCATTTACATCCACATCCGCACACTGAAAACCAACCTCTGACCTTATTTATTTGAGCTTTAAAAGCTCAGCTAGGGGTTTCGAACTTGTGATTAGGGTCCGAAACCATGATCCCTTTTTCTGTTGTGCGTTACGAGTTAAAGGCATTGCACCTGGGAGTTTCGGCAAATGTAGGACAGCAAAAAAAAAAAGAAAAGAGAAGAAAAAAAAAAAATCCATCCAGCATCACCGTTACGCAGAGCGGGCTGAAAACCTCAACACGAAAAACTACTTACTTAGAAGCACGACACAACAAAACAAACAAACAAACAAACAAAGGCTTACGAAAGATACGGCAAAGCGAATAAATGAGTTTCCCAGAGTCCCTCCAGGCTGATGACATGAATACACAAACAGCTGTTCGGCCGGACAAAAGAGGATAGCGACTGAGAGCGTGTGTGCGTGTGTGTGCGTACGTGCACGTGGCGGTTGTGAATTGAGTTAATCCCCAATGACAGCTTGCAGAGAGAGAGAGAGAGTGTGTGTGTTTAGCGGAATAAGGTCACAACGAGGTCCGCGCGGCGCCCAAATCACAGCCACTTCCTGTAACAACAGATCTGATGGAGGCCCGCCAGGACGGACATGTGATCTAACCCCGACCGGGAAGTGGGAAAAGCCAAACAGCACCGGGAAGAAGAAGGAAAAGTGTTTTGGGACTGGTTTGCCATCAGATGAGTGTGTCAGGTTGCTTATCTAAAACACCCTGTAGCAGCTAATTCCTCTTAACCCCATAATGCCAGATGTATCATATTTGATACGTACTGTTTCTGAAATGTTTTGCGTCCGACACCTTTTGCATAATTTAATGGTAAAAACTTTGCTCAAAATCCTATTGTACACA